TTCCTGTTTGAGGAGGTTTTCCTATTCTGTTCAAATAAAAATATATTTTCCCTCATATATTGATTACCAAAGATCCTTTAAAGAATCTGCAGAGTTAATTGGCAAAACAATTGCACATTATCATCTCAACTTTTTCATTTGTGGCATTTGAATGTTTGCACAGGGCCACAATGCCCCCCCCCCCGCAGTGAACAACAGGATCTCTGAGCTAACAGTTCCAAAGAAATGTCTCCACTGAGTATGTTAAGGGTTGGTGAGAAGGGGAAGATTGAGGGAAGCCAGTTACTTGACATTGATCTAATCACTTACTGGTTCTTATTTTCTAGCCTATGTGATCAGAAATCCAGGCGTCCAGAGAAAACTTTCAAAAGAACAGGGTGGGTGAAGGTGAGAAAATCTGTCAACTGAATGTCTAAGGATCCACCTCTGGAAATTTCTAGTTTTTTTCTGAATTCCAGTCAGACACAACCCAGAAGGAGAAAATTTGAAATGTATGCTTAGCTGAATCTCTGCTGTTAATCAGTTTCTTCGGAGAATAAAGAAGCTACAGACTTTATTGAAGAAATACTCAGTCATCTAAAGGGGAAGCAGGAGTATCGTTTGCTACGAATTTTCTTCTGATTTGGAGGACTGTAGCCAGTGTGCAAAGTGTACTGATGCACAAGTGGATTTCCCCTCAAAAGTATTAAGGGGGGTAATTTACATAATGGGGCAGCTTTACAATCTCTAGTGTCCAAATAGATGGAAGAGGATTGCTGTTGACAGGAAGAAAGAATATTCACCTACGTTGTAGAAAGAGTAAAACGTTGCGAGGGCTTGCCAATTTACAGATAATTCATAAAATGGCTGATTCAGTTGTTCAGCTGACAGATTCCTTATTAAACTACTGATCTGGTATATATTTAGCAGAATCATCATTAGCAGCAGGGATCAGAAGCATTCATTCTCTCACAGTGAGATGCATCTAACCCTTTTGTTAATTTGGAGGCAATTAGGAGTGGAATGCAGAGGGATTGTTGCAACAGAGCGACTCATGTCATACTTACTAGGGAACAATAGGATTGCTTTGATTTCTGAACCAAATCTAATTCTCCAGACTACTTAGTTTCAAATAAGTGCAAACTATAGAAGAATTGGAATAATCGGATTCTTGGGTTTTACTCTGTTAGCGCAGCAATAGAAACTGAAATGGTATCAACTTGCTTTGTTAAAGACAAAATGAAATAAATCTGATGGAAATTATGTTTGAGATTTGTATATGCTAATGTGTACATGGGTGGTTTGGGAAGGCTATTTCAGTATATGGGTGGTGGGGAATTTGTGGCCCTCCAGATGTTGTTGAACTCCAGTTCCCATCAGCTGTAGCCAGTATGACTAAAGATCAGGGATGATAGGAGCTGTAGTTCAACATCTGGATGGCCAAAGCATTATCTCTGTGCTATCCCCTGCCTGCCAAGTGTCTGTATGTAGCCATGACATTCACAGTATTACAGAAGCTATCCTGGCTTCTGATTTGATCCACGAATGTCCTGTTTTCCCCATCCAGCATTACCGCTGAGCACAGGAGAAGGATGAGCCAGTGCTTGCCCTTAGCAGGGTACCCTCCTCTTGTGGGGGTGGAATACAGAGGCAGCGAATGCATGCAACACTCTTGTCAGCCCTTCTCTGCCACTGCTGCTGTCATGGCAATGTGAGGGCAGAGGAACTGAGTGAGGAGGGAGGAGAGCAAGCAGATGCTGGGTAGAGGCTGTGGTAGAGGAGGCGGCAGGCTGACTCCATTTTCTCTTGGTGTCTGTGGTTCTCCATGAGCCTGCTGACTCATGGGGCAGTGCAGCACCCAAAGCCACATGTTCCAATGTTTTGCTGGAAAATGTTGGAGGGTATGCTATCAGAATCACTTCACTTACCAGGCTAGGGGACCTGATGTGCCAGGGAGAGGTAGTAAATGGAGATGTTTGATGCATATGCAGCTTATAGGATACATCTAAGGAGATTCCACTAGGCCAAATAAGGACCAGCTGTTTCCCACCCACCCCCTCAGCCCTGACTAAATGAGTGGGGAGGGGGCTCTGTACTGTGAAGATATTAAAAAGGAATTGCCACAATCCGACAAGAGCTCGGATGTAGAAGAAGGATACTAGAAATTACAGTAATTAACAATAGCTAATAAAGCACATGAATAATAGCTAGCCAGACCTTCTCGACGAAATTATTATACACAGCAGTTGCATTTTTTAAAAGGAACTCTGAAAAGAAAGAAACTCTTTACAATGTTGTTCTAGTATTAGAATATAAAGATCAATGGAAGTTTGCCACAGAGTATTCAAAAATAGTCCACTGGAATAAAAAGACACCTGAAAAGGTAAAGATTTAGCAGGAGGAAAGTTAACGCCTCTTTCTTTCTTTCTGTCTTCTCTCTGGTTTTATTCCACTATTCAAATGAAAACGGCTGGAGGGCTGCAGTTTCTCTTATTCAAGTCTAGCATGAGCTCTGTCAATAATAGCCAATGGATCACCGCACACTTTTGTATTATCAGCAAAGGGATATGCGAATAGAAAGCAGCATTGCTCATGCAGGGCATCATCCTGTGAAGTGATGAGTACTTCCAGAAAGTGACTGAGGGCCACCAACATCCCTGGAGTCAATAAAAATGAGGGAACTGAACAGCATGATACCGTAGATGAACAGACAGCACATTCTCTGCTGGCAATGAGGTTTTAATAAAGCATAGAATAAAATAGGTTGTTTTTAATGCTAGATTAATTATAGCTATATGGTAATTACATAGAATGCAAGCTGTAATAATGTTGAGCTAATGTCATTCAGATTGCTGCCTCAATAATTAACACCTATGACAAGGGATCACATTCTAAGATCCAATGTGGAAATAGCCAGACATGGCATGAGCGACTGTGAGGTAATTAAATATTGTGCCATGTTAATCAAGGACTCAAATGCACCTGCACAGCATAAGGGCATGTAGATTTAAATCTAACCTGAGACAGAAGCACAGGAGATAACGGCATCTGGCTGGTTGGTGCCTAGTGCCTACACTAGTTTTCATTATAGTATACATAGTCTGGACAGTGGTGTCCCCAAATCCAGACACTTCAACTGTTGGCTTCACAAAAACAAAAGCCACTTAATATGCTTTGATCATGATTAGATATATATTAAGTATTTGATTACAGAACTCGCATGCATCAACACATGGTTTTGAAGAGCAAATGGTCCAGTAAGTGCTCAGTCCATAAAGCATGGGACTCTTAATCTGAGCGTTGTGGGTTTGAGCCCCATATTGGGCAAAAGATTCCTGCATTGCAGGGGGTTGGGTTCATGACCCTGGTGGTCCCTTTCCAACTCTACAGTTCTATGTTTCTACTGCAGCTGTTGGAAATCAAAGGTGCTATTTGAGTGTTACCAATATTAATCAAGATTCCCCTGTAGCAATCTTAGTTCTGGTGTACTTATATCCTTTACTTTACTCATATACAGTAATTTGAATTAGCATCTGTTTGTCTGCATACACAAGTTGAGAATGTATTTGTGGAATTCAGTGTCACAACTTATATTGATAACTACAAATATGGATGGTTTTCAATGTGAAGTGGAAATATTCATGGAGGAAAAGTCTATCAGTGGCTACTAATCATGATATTTATATGCAGCTTCCATGTTCAGATTTCATTTGTTGAGAAACAACAGCAGGAGAAAGCCATTGGCTTCATACCTTCCTTCACGGAGGTATCTAGTTGTTGATGTGGTACACAGAATACAGAACTAAATGGACCCTTGATCATCTAAATTGAATTTTCATACATGGATTGCATTTCTGTGAAGGACATTTCATAGTGCAGAGCACTATGAGCAGATTGTCAGAAGCTGCGATTGGTCATTGCTTCTCCACAAGTATTTACTCAGTGATACAGATTTATTTATGTTTTTCATATATGATGATCTCTACACAGTGTCCACACAGCTACCTACATGGAAGTGCTATTCATGTAGAAAATTCATAACATTAGAAACAGCTCAGAATTTCCATTTGATATCTTGACAGGGAGCTATTTTAAGGAATGCATTAGGAATAATTCTCTAGAGTGCCTTGTGGAGAACTATTGAAATTCTTATAAAATCTTAAATAAAGCTGTATGCTTAAAATGCTGAACATATCCTCATGAACAAATGTGAGGTGTCATATAGCCCATTCCTTATCCTTATCTGCAAACCCACAGAAGTAAAGATACTTCAGTCATTGTTGATGTTTGAGGTCTTGGACTATTATCTATTCTTAATCCAAATTACTGGTTTCTGTAACTTCATTAAGTAATAAACGCTCACAGGACCTCCCTATTTAATATGTCATTTTTTGCAAGAATTTTCTTCAAACACCTGCCCTGATGTTCTGAAGCTTTGAGCTCCACTTGTATGTTCAATATGTGGAGTGTGGAGACTTTCCCCACCCACCCCTGCTGGAACTGCTCCCAATATGTACTCATCCTGTGACATTTGAATGGGGAGACTACAGGGTTAATATGGACAGCGGAGTGGGGCCAAATGAAAAATGCTATGGGTTCATATTCCAGAAGCACTTGAGAGACATGCAGTGTCAATGTAATGTTGCCAACATTCAATGAGACAATGTGAAAGATATAATTTGTTGCAGGAAGAAAGGGAATAAGAGGATGGTTCCAGTGAAGTTTTACTCAGAGTATACACACTAAAATGAACAAACATGGCAAAGTCAGCACCATCAATTTCAGTGGGTAAAACTTAGTTTAATACTTTGTCTCATCTTTTATATTCTTTGCATTTTAATAAGATCCTAGTGCAGAAGAGATGCATCATTGTAAAAACTTAAAGACTAGCTATGAATATAGGGCCATAGAAAGCTGCCATATACTGAGTCAGACCATTGTTCCATTTAGCTCAGTATTATCACTACTGACTAGCTGCAGGTCTCCAGGAATTCATGCAGGGAATCTTTCTTAGTCCTGTCTGGAGATGCCGGGGATGGAACCTGGGATCTTTGGCATGGAAGGCAAATGCTCTACCACTGAGCTATAGTCTAGTTTGCTTCTTTTTGGCTGGGTTCTTATGTTACTTCTGTGGCATGGGAGCCAAATACAGCCTTTTTCCTTCCTTTGATACTGGATGGGACCAGTAGCCTCTAACCACATGGAAAAGCCCACATTGTTGCTCCTGCGTGTTGCCAGTGTAAACACAGTGTCCTGAAGAGTGATGCTAGGGTGAGATGGATCTGCAGGGCTGGCTCTCTATGCATGCCCGGTTCTTTCATGTTACCCTGGCAGTTTAGGAAGGTACAGCACTGCAACAGATCCCATGCCTTCAGATTGGAATTTAAACTGGTATCTTAGGCTGCATTCATTTTCCCACTTACCTGGAAGCAAGCCCCACTGACTTCGGTAGGATCTACTTCTGAGTAGACATGGATGGCTATTTATTCCAATTCTTTTAAAGAAAACCTAGTCAAGTTTCAGCCACGTAATACTACAGCTGAAACATATAACTGATTAATGGTGAGTAATCGTGACAGTATGCAGATCTCTTTACATGGTCATATTTCCAAACAGACACAAATAGTGGCACAATATGCGAATGCCAAATTATTGTTCAGAGAATAATATGTTCAGATATTGTTTCATATTTGGAGCTTTGCATTATTCTTCCATGTGCTAAAGAATCTCACAAGTACTAATTTTCAAAGAGAAACACTTTGCATGAGTATTTCCCCCCACACACACCATAAATTACAGTCCTCTGTTTGTTTTTGGAGGCGTCAGTCTGCTGGAAAAGTATTATTAGGATTTCACAGCAGCCATGCATTATCCAAGTGTGTGGATTATGATTGTAATTTCTTGCACATATGTTAAACTGAGAGGCTTAAATTGATATCCAAGTTCGCTTTCAAAATCTCTATAAAATTAATGTGCAGCCTTGCTCTACATGTGATGGTCCCTCTGCCAAAACAATGTGTTGTCAATAACTGCATGCTATGCAGCTTTTGAAAATTTGGATAACACCGAATGCTTTGAAAAACGTACTCTAAATGAACTTTAAAAACCCACAGTCAAAGCTGGCAAAGAACCAGCATAAGATTAGCTGTACTAAAACTCAAGTAGGGATAGAGGAGGAAGTCCATTCAACTCACATTTAAAGGAGAACCTACCTAATTTTCACTTTGCTAAACATTGTGTGAACTGAAACGTATTGGCAGATTTTGCAATGCAGTTCACCAGTCAAGTAAACATGCATATGTCAGCAGCTTTAAGTGTGCATAAAAATGCATATATTTGTGAAAATAACATATATAAATGCATTATATTAGTGGAAATTGTTTGGTAAAAAATATATTGGGTGAAATAGATATGGAGAAATTTGCACTGAAATGCTGATGAATTTTCATGACTTCTTACAAAGGACTTGCAAACTGATGTGGAGTGAAATTAAGATGGGGGAAAAGGAGAAACCAAAAATGGCAGATTCACTTCTCTCTGCACACAGGTCTCCACTGAGGTATGCCAGACAGTGTACAGGCACGGGCATGATTTTGTTGTGTTCTAACTTGCCCTAAAGGCTGAGAGGCCACCCATGCTCAAAACTATTTTTTTTTAATCAAGCCTTATCTCAAGACAGATCTGTTTCCAAAGCCAAGATGCAGTGCTTAATTGTATAATGAAAGAATAGGTGAAAATCGTCTTCAGAAAGTACAGACAATGCTTCTCTCACTGCAGATTAGCAACTAATGATAGTTTTCAGCCCTACAACATCTCCTCTGTAATCTGCTTTGGGTGATCTAATACTTTAAGGATCCTGAGCACCAGTTAAGTGGCACAAGACACAGTATAAATATGGTGGTTTATATTTTTCCTAGATAATCCATAGGAAGGAAGCTTCTAACAGAATTACACAAATTTCTATCTGGTTTTATTCATAGGCCACTTTACCGGTGTATGTCTCACTGGAGTAATCAGGAACTGCATAAGAATACTCCCAGGAATCCAAATACTTTGGAATCCTATTAATATGGCAGGAGGGAACTGAGGCCAGGCAGCCCTAATCCCTTTCTTAAGAACAACAACAGAAACAGCACAACAAAATGTTTCTTTAACATAAGTCTTGCTATGAGTTTTGGATGTGTGTGAATGCCTGGGTTCCCTTCTAATTCTTGGAATAACCAGGCTAGCTTCCTGATCAGGTGATAGCCTGTGTGATGGTTCATTAAGGGAACAAAGGAAGGGGCTCTCTGTGCCAGACTGCAAGTGAGTAGGGCCCTCTCCCTCAACTCTCAGTAGGTAGAAGGATAAAGGCAGAGTGGAGAGCAGAAAGTGAAGTGATGTGATCTGGAGTAGAGCAGCAAGCTGGGAACTGAGTGATGTTTGATTTCTGTTTGAATCCAAGGCTGTGGCTTTGGCAGAAGCAAGGCCCTCTTGGGGTGTTAATGCTGTGAACCTCTCCATTGTAGGCTCAGGTTGAAGATATATGTAAATAAACCATCTATCATAAACACCTCACAATATCCTCTCTACCTCATTCTAAAGGAAACACAAACCCTGGGATATCTCCTGAAACCTCTGACAACTCTCACTCCTCTGTTGGAATGAATCCACGACAGACGAGTTGCAGGTGTCATATGAGGCGTCCGCCGGGGCGAGCCCCGGGAACTCTCTTTTATTGAAACTTCCCAGCACTCCTCAAAGTTGGAGTGGCATACAACAAAATAGTTTCAGTTCAAGTGTATTTTAATTATATTTTTACTACCATTTCATCCAAGCATTTGTATTGTATACTTAAGATGCCATTATCAGCTTTCACATCTGTGAATAAGGGATTATATCTGTGCCGCCTTCTAAAGGGTAAAACAATAGATAGAGAGAGAGAAAAGGATTTTTATTTAGCGCTATCTGTTGCAAAAGCATATCACAAGCCAGAGCAAAATCATTCTGCCACAGTCATTCCCCAGCAAGTGAAAGGCTGTGCAAGAATATGGTTGCTGCAAAATTCTCTACAAGTTGATCCGTCTTTTATAGTCTTCATTATTTTCCATAATTTTCACTGCAAGACACCCAAACAAATAACAATGAGTATTTTATTATGCTTCCTTATTGTGTAGGTTGTTTTTTCCAGGCTCAATTTAATCCTTTTTACATTTTTGTTTTTAAAATGTGGCATAGAAATCCTGCCATAATCTTGTGCCAGAAATGTTGTGCTAGTGAAACAGTGGGTTTGTGCTTAGATATTTTTTTATAATGGCCAGCTAAGCACATGGTGGGTGAAGGAAAAATGCAAGTCCCTTCCACATTCCAGATGTGTTAGCCCATGACAAGGCAGTCCTGTGTGTATCATTGTCATGCACAGCACTCCCTGAATACTCTTAGCATACAACCACAAATGTAGGTTTTCAAGTGCATATAGTGGTGTGCCAAAAGCCAATCCAGGATTTGTTGGGGTGACAATCACCTCCTGGGATGGCTGTTGTCACAGGCTTGGCTTTCTCCTATACCCATGCCTTGTTGAGATGGTCCTCAGAATATGTCCTCCTTACTCTTTGTTCAGGACTGCTATGGAGACAAATAAGCAGTGTGTCCTGTCAGCCTAAGAAAGCATAGCTGTTGTCGGAGAGCGCTGACTTTTTCCTGTGGACAATTTGACTCTAAAGTAACTACCCGTGAGTAGAGCTTAATTGGGAAAATTGGATTTTTTAAAAAAAAAAATCTAATTTGGCATCGAAACAGGGAAGGTTCAATACAGGAAGTCCGCCTTCCCCTTTTGTAAATAGACTGAAGCAATTGAGGCTGCAAGCTGAAGTCTTGGAAAGCCTTAATAAAAGACTAAATTTCCATAAGTAAAGAATATAATCCCCCCCTTGGAGGCAGGAGAAGAGGGGGGAGGGAAGTTGTCAACTGAGTTTGCCTGTGGAAGAGACCAAGAGAGGTAAAACACCGCCGCTCGGACCCTGGGAACGGGCTGCTAGAAGGTCCGACGTTTTGGTGAGACGTTTATTGACAGTGCTTGGATCGTGTTGACAGCTAGCATAAGAGAAGATACATTGTTTCTACTGTTTCCAGCAGTGAAAGTAACTGAAAATTGAAATTAGTTTTGGGTCGTTTGAACTGTGCTTTAAGAGGATATTACTTATCAATACAAATAGAAACTGTTTCCCTCTAGTGGAAGTTCTTGAAACTGGCGGCTACATAAGATCTGGGCTGGGAAATTTCCAGTTGTAAGATAAAAACCGTGAGACTGTGAGTTGACCTTGAATCTACTGAGTGTTATGGCAGATGCGAAAGACGGAATGTCGCCAGAAGAGGCCTTAGTGATTGCGCTAGTGAAAATAAATGATTCGCTGGAACAGCTTCACAAGAAAATGGATGTGATAAATATGAAAGTGGATGCTGCAAATATTAAAAATGATTTAATGGTAGAAAGTCTAAATAACCTGGGACAAAAGGTGAATATCAATACAGAAACCACCCAGAAATTGATACAGGAATCTATCCTGATACGGCAAACTGCGGATGAAGTTAAGGAGAAAACCCTCGCCGCTGAAGTTAAAGTAATTCAACTGGAGAGAGAGAGAGTCCCTTCCATACAAGGACGATTTGATGAATACCAGATAATACATGACGAGCTGACACTTGATATGATTGAACTTAAAGAGAAACAGATGAAATTGAGGATCAGAGCCCTACCCGAGGAAAAGGAAACCCTGATAGAGTTTCAGGAGGAGATAGGACTAACATTGGTTGAGAAAGAGAGGCATTGGGGGGTTAGTATGACCGCCAGAAATGTGAATTTATTCAAGGGCAACTGTGAAGGACATTGGCTTGAAGAGAAGGGGGATTTGGAAATAGGGCTAAATTGGAAGTTGCTATTGTTGGGCCGAGTTGCTGTGGTGGGGATGAGGGTTGCGGGGAGGTCGGGGATGTTGCTTTTGTTTCAAACATTGCAAGTTTTGGATGGGAGGGATTGTTTCAGGAGGTGGCAGAGGGATGTCTCTAGATCTGTATGGCAGGGCAGGAAGCCTCGAGTAAAATTTAAGATATTA